ATAAATTCAGGGCGATTCTCTGGATGATTTTTCTCTGATTTGAACTGATCGGCCAGGACGACCGTGAGATCATCCTGGATAATAAAGTCGGCAACTTGTAATTAATGAGCCCCTTTGAAGCTCTTCTATTTAAGAGCTTAAAAACTTAGAAGTTTTCATGTATCAAAGGCTTGATTTTGATTGTTTTGAGATTGTGACAAATTTACTTTGGTTTATTATTCTATGAGATATTTTTTCTTAAACCAAGTGATGAAGGGAACCTTATCTCATATCCAATTGGTTTTCTTTGAGTTAGGTCATTGATTTCAAAAGACGATTCTACCCTAAAAGAAAGTCTGAGATAAGGGTAACCATAATCGGATATTCTACCGTTCTTTGGATTGTAGATGATGTTAACTCATTAACTCACAAGTTTTTTTAAAAAAATCAATCACATGGAATGCTACATCATATTCATGCCTTGGGCAAAAAAAAAATTGGTCTTTTGATTTGCTTTCTTCGTTCCCTCCTTTTTGAGATGTCAAAAGGGGGAGTAGTTTAGGATGCTTGCTTACACTTTTGATTCCATATTTTACACTGCTATTTTTAAAATAATTGTCGTAGTGTTTTACCGTCATCAAAAAGGGGGAGATTGTTGCAAATTTAGTTTCATGGACTATGTTTTAATGATTGGCAAACACTTGCTTTACTTCAACTGCCTGTTACTACTGACATTTTCAGGATTCAAAGATCGGATGGAAATCGGAATCAGCTCAAGACTAGATAGATTAGGGGTTAGTCAGTTTGTAATTTTCTTTTTTCTTTCTTGATTAAATTGTAATTATTTGAAGTGACTGTTGTTAAGTAACCCTACACACACACACTTGAGAGATTTAGAACTTGTGTTTTTACTCACATCATCCCGGACGATATTTATATCATCATGAACGATCGAGCTCAAAATAGAAGATCTAATCAGGATTTCTTAGTTAAGGCAGCCGTAATTAACTGATCGGCCAGGATGATATACTCAATACAGAAAGAAATTGCCTCCATTATCAATTTAGGTATTCTGTATTTTTGCAAATCAGTCAGGATGATCATGAGATCGGCCTGAACGATATTACACAATTATGCCTAAATTGATCTAGAAATCAAGGAAGTAATTAAGGATAATTGATACGATCACATCATCCTGGATGATCGCAGGATTGGCCAGGACGATCTATTCAGAAACTTTTAGTTGCTTCTGGAAGATAAATATCGGCCAGCACAAATTCAGGGCGATGCTCTGGATGATTTTCCTCTGATTTGAATTGATCGTCCAGGATGATCGTGAGATCGTCCAGGACGATCAAGCAAATTTTTAATCATCTAATTTGCATTCAGGGCGATGCTCTGGCCGATCTTATGAGATTTGTACTGATCGTCCTAGACGATAAAGTTGGCAACTTGCAATTAATGAGCCCCTTTGAAGCTCTTCTATTTAAGAGCTCTTGTTCAACATTTTTGAATATCCTTGGCGGCTGTCTTGACTTGAGAAATCCTAAAGGAGAGAGAGAGGGGGGGAGAGAGAGAGAGGATTTTGTGAGGGGGAGCATGTGAGGGGGTTCACAAGAGTTTCTCCAAGCATTGTTCCACTTCTTCTTCCCTAGAGTCTCTTGTCCTTGGAAGGGTTGGGAGAAGTAAGTTTCAGCAAGTGATCGTGGTTCTCTGCCTGCTACAGGAGGAAGCAAAAGGAGTTGGGTTCTCTGCCTTGCCGGGTGTGGCAAAAAGTATGTGTTTTTGTGAGGGCTTCTCCGCCTAGCTGTGGGAGCTAAAGGAGAGTCACGTTGGTAGTGTAATACTTGGAGGGCGCCTTCGGAGAGTGGAAGTAGGTCAAGTTGACCAAACCACTATAAAACCTTGTGTTCCTTTTACTTCTTCCGCACTTTAATTTTTTCAGCACTTATTTTTTCGTGGTGATTTTGATTTGTGATAATCGTTCTTTTGGTTTTAAAGAATTTTTTAAAATACCAATTCGCACCCCCCCCTCTTGGTTAGCCTCGGGACTAGTTTATAGGGCTTAACATCCCTAATGAACTTTCAGAAGAGTTTTCCCTATCATACCGTATGAGTTTATATCATACGGTATGAACTTATTCAAAAGTTTAAACCTATTCGTAAACCTTCATACTAAGATGAAGCTCATTTGTACTAATCGTTCTGTAGGATATGTAATCATACTGTATGATGGTAACGGCTACTTTGAAAAATTTTAGGGTTTTTGGAGCCCATTTTAAGTATCAAAAAGTAATGTTTTTGGTATGTGACTAAGAGAGGGAAATGTGATTAGAGAGGGTTTCCTTGGGTGAGAGCCCTTGAGGAGATTTTAAGGTTTACGAGAGGAAGGAGATGGTGGACTTGGTGAGGGAGATCACACGGTTGCTCCAAGCTTGCAGCACTTTGCTCCTCCTATGGTCCGAGAATATATTGTGGGAGGCTTTCTTAGGGGGCGACTCTTCTACATCCGTGTCTTCTAAGGTACTCTTCCTTCTCCAGGAGGAAGAAAAATGAGAAGGTACGCTGCCGTCACTAGGAAGGTCAGAAAAGTGCTTGGCACTCCATCACGCCCGGTTGGTGAAAGTGAGTCTTGTAAGGGCTTCTCCACCTTGCCTTTGGGGCAAAAGAAGAACTATATTTTTATAGTGATTCCCAGAGTGGAGGACTCTGTGGAGTGGACGTAGGTCAAGTGATCGAACCACTATAAAAACTCTTGTGTACTTTTTCCTTGCTTTTATTTTTTCTTGCACTTTATTGTCATTATAATTGCTTGTTAAAAAACATTGTGGAAATAGTTGTTGCAAATTATGCTCAAGTACTTGCTTTCGCATTAATTAAATTTTTCTGTTAAAATATTAAAAACCAAAAAATTATTTATTAAAACTCATGTTTAGGATTTTTATTGCAACAAGTTTTTCGTAATTCACCCCCCCCCCTCTTGGCGCATCTAGCAATTTGAAAGTGAACACTTCAATCAATACAAGTTTTGAATTATAAATCTTACTAACAATGATGAATACATAAGAATAACTTCTACATCTGATTCAACTTATAATGCAAGAAAATAAATATCCTACAAACACGAATAAGTTAAACATAATAAAAATTAATAAAAAACTTGAAATTCTCCAAGTAATAGAAAGTGAATAAAGAGATAACATGTCTATATCATTGGTAATAGTGCTAAAAACGTGATTCATGCTACACCTTATATTTATGGGCTATAAAGAATTTTACGCAAGTGCACGTGTCATGTTAAATAGTATATAGTGAGTTTAGTAGCCTTTGTATGAATATTCAAATAATCTCTAAAATCACCTAACCCCAACTTTTATTCTTGTGTTAAGTGTAAATTGTGCACTATTTATAAGGTTAAATTTTAGTGAAAAATATAGTGATTTAGTTGCGTGTGTGTAGACAATATTTAGAAGAAGGCAAAATTTCATAAGTATTGAATGAGCAACACAGCGCCCATTGTTCCATGCTACAACATCTTTATCTACAACTCCCAAACTTCTATTTTAGACATTACAGCACTGGCCTCTCTGAAATTTAAGGAAAAAGTAGCTCTTAAGCAGAGCCAAGGTTAGCACCTTATTGCGTCCCAACATTGTTACACTAAAAATCAGCTCTGCAACACTATAGGCTTAGGAATATGAGCACTACAACACTAATCATCGCAACATTATAGTGCTTTATTACACTTTAAAGCCCTGCAATGCTCAACTTTATTACTGCCATGGTGGAGCAGTTATCAAAAGGAGTTGTGCTAACTTAGCCAAAAGATGTGCCAGTTCAACCAAAAATCATGCCACATTAACACAACATTGATGCAGATACAGTTTTATAGTGCTAATGTGCTAGTTCATTTTAGACTATCACGGCATAACCATATACCCGAGGCCATTACTTATCTTGTATAACTATTTTTTTAGTTATTTCATTAGAGGAGTTCTATCATTTTAGTGGATTCTTATACTTTTGAGTGTCTTCCTTTAGTTCCCTCTTAAAGTGAAGTCTAAGGTATGCTTGGGAAGTGCAATATACTTTCATTTAGAGATCTTAGCCTGAATAACATAAGTAATTATATTGTTGGAAGAAAAAGGAGTGAGGAATGTCAATTGATCCTTCCAGGTGATATTTATCTTATTAATTCCCTCGTATATTTTTTCTTATTTGAATGAAATCAACATGAGTTTGCTTTTTTATGTTATCAATGTCTGGCTAAATCTCTAATTTTTGGGATAATGACGTAAATGGATCAAGTATTAATGTATGATTTTATGCTTTAAATTACTTAAAAGTTATTTTCAATATCTCTTGCTCTTAATTTAATGCATACAATGCTTATATATGTAGTTAATATCTAGTGTGATGCATTGCCTCGATATATGAATATGCGAACAAATAGAAATTTTAAAATGAAATGTTAGCATACTTAGACATAGGATGTCAAACCGTTTAGATTCTATGAAGATATTATATTTATAGGAAGGCAATAAAGCTTCCTTTTCACAACTACAAGCTTGATAAAGATCTAGGGGTCCATATGCTCTTATCCAAATCTAAAATTAAGAGATTATTAGGAAAGTCATATTGTAGTAGAAGGACCATCCTAATTATCTTACAGAGTATGTTAACCCTATAGTAGAAGGAATTTATCAGAGTATCAATAAACCTACTATCCAGGCCAATAACTTTAACTTAAACCCCTAATAATTTAGATGATTCAAAATTATCAATTTTAGGGAATTCCTATTAAGGATCCAGAGCTATACTTAGCTAGCTTCTTAGATATCTGTATAATATTAAAATATAATGGTGTTAGTAATGAAGCTATTGGACAAAGATTGTTCCCATTTTCTATAAGAGACAAAGCTAAGATGTCATTGAATTCCTAATCCTCAGTCTCTATAACCACCTAGAATGAGTTGGCACATAAATTTCTTGCTAAGTATTTCCCACCTTTAAAAAATACCAAACTTAGGAGTAAAATCACATCTTTTGGTCAATTTGAAGGATAGCATATTTATGAAAGTTGGGGGAGATTTAAGGAAACACTTAGGAGTTTCCCTCACCATAGTTTAGCTATTTGGTTAGTTATTCAGACTTTTTATAATGGTTTGGTAGGATCCCTTAGGTCAATCATAGATACAGTAGCTGAATGTGCTTTAATGTCTAAGACATTTGAGGAATCCTATAAACTAATTAAGGAATTGGCTATAAATAATTCTAGTTTCCTTCTTATAGGGTGAATCCTGAGAGTAGCAGGTAAGTATGAATAAGATGTATTATCTATTTTGATTGTACAAGTAGCTATAATATATAAAAAGGTAGAAATTATTGGAGTACGTTTAGCATCAAGATCATCTATACAGTTGGAAGAGTATGATTTAAATTCAATAGATGATAATAAAACATTAAGGATTGAGAATGAGAATTTGATTGGAAGATAAACTAATTCTTATTTTGATACATATAATGTAGGTTGGAGGAACCATCCTAAGCTTAGCTAGTCAAATAATAATATTAGAGATAGCAATTTGTTAAATATAGGTTAATCAAATCAAGAAGGAAATTGGAATAGTACTTAGCAAACTAAAATAAATCATAGACTTCTAATCGTTTTATGCAAAAAAAAAATTAATTCAAAGAGAGGAAATCACCATTATAATAGATTGTGACTCAGGCAGAAACCCAATTCCAAAGTTAGGCTGATTTAATTAACAATTTAAAAAGTCAATTAGGATAGTTACAATCTCTTTTAGTAGTAGACCTCATTAAATTTTCCCCAATAATACCGATTCAAAGGAGAAAAAAATGAGCATAGTGGAGACCACTTGAGAAGTGGTGGCGATTCACTACAACAAAAGTGACATGTTTAGGCAAGTTTTGCTAAAAGCTATAAATTTAGTGATGTTTTGGGAGACTGCCCAATTATGTTATGTGCTTTTATGTTTTGTCGGGTAATATATATATATATATAACTTCAAGAGAAAACAATTGTTGAACCAGCACCATAATTTTAGTATTTGAAGCATCATAGCATCTGCTAGCAAAGTTCTATAATGTTCAAAAATTATATTATAGCAATGCAGTGTTAAGAATTTTTTTAGATTACACTGCCACTGCACTGTATCATTAATACCATAGTAATATTTTGCCTTACTAAGCGCCTCATGACTACTCTCTGAAGCAATGTAGCGCTAGTTCATTATCTTTGCAGTATTGACTGTAGTGTCATCAATATGTCATACTTTCATAACTTTTACATTATGACACTTCATTAAGTGTCTTAGTGCTATTGTTTGAGTCATAGTGTTAGGTCAAAAACATTATTATTTTATGTTTTGTTGGGTAATTTATATTTTTTATTATGTTTTGTAATTTATGTGTGTGTTGTATTGTTTATAAAATCATTAATATTAATTTGGATAAGTTATTAAAAACTTCAAGAGAAAAAAATGTTGAACTAAAAATAGAACTAGCACCGTAGTGTTAGTATTTGAAGTGTCATAGCATTTGCAAGTCAATCGCCACAACATTCAAAAATAATATCACATCATTGAAGTCTAAAAAAAAAAAGTTTTAGATTGCACTAGCACATCACTATATCATTAAACACCATTGTGCTATTTTGCCTTGCTGAGTGCCTCAGTGCTACTCTCTTAAACATTATAGCATTAGTTTGTTATCTCTATAGTACTGATGGAAATGCCTTCAATAGGACATACTTTTATAACTTTTACATTATGACATTTTATTGAGCATCGCAGCGTGTTATCATCATCCTAGTGTTAGGTCAAAATTATTATTATTACTATTGAAGTGCAATGGTAATAGTCTTTGTAAGCATAACAAAGCTCATGCATGTCAATCACCGTTGTGTTTACCTAATAAAAAAATGGAGCTTCATTTTCTAATGCCTACTCCATAGTGCCGGATGCTCCGTACCACTGATAAATTTGCCTTTTTGACTTTTTATCATTTTCTATAGTTTTAAGCACCGTGGTGCTAATCTCTTCAGCACCATAACAATCGCAATATTCATATATTGTGTGCTTATTCAAAAAAAAATTATTGCATTTTTTCTTTCATTCTCTCAAAATTTTTGCATTTTCTTTATTTGAGGTTTATAAAAATTAGCCCCAAAAAATGTTTGGCAAACAATCTTCATCATCATATGATAAGAACATATTCATTTATGCTGAGGTTGAGTTAAGGTATGGGACGATAATGGTATCCAATCAATTGATCGCTAAGAGAGGCTTCCAAAACCTAAGAGGGAATGTAATACAAATGATTATAAACTAGATTTGGGAGAGATTTTATTAGAAACCCTATGTAGTAGTTGTCAATATACTGAGGGCATTTTTCTCTAAAAGAAAAGAGGTTGTGGATAATACATGTTACGTGTGAGGTAAGTGCGTACCCTTAGATCTTGTTACCATTAACCATATTTATAAGCTTCCAAATTTTGAGTTTGACAAGTATACCCCTTTTCTTTTGCCTTTGATTCTAAGAAAATTTTGAGAGTGAAGTGTGAGATTAATAGTGGTGCTGTGTGGAAGAAGAGGGAGAATAAAATGATTATTTTTCCCTCATCTTATTTAACTTAATTATTAATGGCTTTCCATTACTTCATTTTTGCTCAAAGTTTTCCCAGCAAAAATGAAACTGAACATGGAAGGACACTCCTCCGGGACACATTATTGAGGTAACTAAATATCATGCTAATCTTAATTATGCTATTCAAGTTAGGTATACCATTGATGTGGGAAATATTATTCATTCTTCCCTAACTTACACTATTAGAGGAACTACTTTTATGGGCTTGGGGAATGCTTATCTTATTTATGCTTTGTGTGTAAATGCTGGTGTAAGTGGAGATCATAGTGAGGAATTGTTTTTATATATTTTATCCCTTATTAAAGGAACAATTAAGAGCTTTGAAAGATTATGTGTAGAGGATGGTATCTGTAATGAGCCAAGAAGGTTGTCTAGTATGCCCAACAGTAGCAGTAGTGGGAGTTTCTAGGACTCCAAAATCTTTAGTTAATCAGGTGGCTAAATTGACTGAGTAGATGGAGAGGGTGACTAAATTCTACGAGGAGAGTGGAGATTGGAAAGAGCACTACTCGGCTATGCAAGAAAATTATTTCCATTATATAGCCGATTTCAATAAGGCCTTAGTGGGGATGTTCAGGAGGAGTCTCTTTATGGAAAATGTTGACTAGCTACATTTCCCTATTGCTCTAGAATACTAGTCGCTTGTTTGGACCTGGCCTGATAATGATGATGATGAAGAGGAGGAGGAGGATCATGACGCGGAGTGATGGGAGTCATTTTTTTTCTTTTATTTGTTTTTTTCTTGCAAACTTAAGATAAATATATATAAGAGAGAGAGAGAGAGAGAGAGAGAGAGAGAGAGAGAGAGAGAGTGTGTGTGTGTGTGAGAGAGAGAGAGAGAGAGCGATATAGTGGATGTGGCTAATTTTATTTATATCATTTTTTTCTTTTATTTATTTTTCAATTCTTTTTCTTAATTAGGGGATCCCATAGAATCATGATTGCGATGTGATTTATGAGAGTAATATTGTTTTATGGCAATGAGAGCCATTATTGATATTTTAATGAGAATAGATCTTGTGGATCATGGATGGAGATGGAATAGAAGAATATTGCTTCATGGACCGGTCATCTATTATTTATTTATCTCTACTGCACTTTTATTACTTATTTAGCCAGAATAAAAATATTAATTAAAAATTAGGTAAAATTAAGATAGTATTAAACCCCAAGATGATAATTTAAATGAAAAATATATAATAAATTACAATTTGAAAAACTTAATAATGAACTAATATAGATCACTTAAGATATTGACTTATTTTAAATTTAGAAACTATATACTAGCACACTAGCAATTAAATATAAAAAATAATAATTTTTTTATAAAAGGAATGCAACTTGTATTAATAATAAAAAAGAAGCTATTATGAACTACCAATTGATAGCTAAACTATTACATTCCTCCTTTAACAAAGAAATAAATAAGGAGGAATATTATTAGTACTAATATCATCCCAAATGAAATCATTAAAAATAACATAGTTAACACATTAATCAGCTAACTTATTATAATAACGATTAGAAAAATGAAACAAAACTTGATTAAAATCCTTTAAAAATAAAAAGTCCTCATCCACCACTTGAAGAGAAATCTTATTGGCTGTATCAAAAGACTTTTGAAGAGGCTTGATAATATTGTAATTATCCCCTTCAATAATTATTCCACTAGTTTCAAACATCCAATCCCTTATTACTCTTTTTAAAGCTAAGATAGCCATCATCTCCAGCTGAGTAATATCCCAATGTAAGCAAGTAAAGCCAAAAGCAAATAAAAATTTACCTTTACAATCTTTGAATACATCATCAATGACAGCTCTATTAAATTTTATTAAAGATGCATCAATGATCACTTTAATCTAGTCGGGAGGAAGAGGATGCCAAGAATTAGAAGATAGCTTTCAAAGTCGATTAGCACCCCAGTTTTCTATTTGACACCTTCCACCTTACAATAGGACGTAGATGCTTTGTACCATTAAGCAGAATTTTCCATGTTGAAGAACACCCTCTCCTAGCTTCATAATACCATATATTTTTATCATATTTTGCAATAAGATTTGTCTTAAGAAGAGAACTCAGGGTGGTAAAAAAATTCCAAGCAAACTTGCCATGTAAAGGCCCTACTAAATCTCTACCATAAAACAACCCAAGGCCTCCATTTTTTTGGCTTGCACAATGCATCCCAAGCAAGATAATTGAGGCCTTGATTACCATCTTGCTTATGCAAAATAGAGTTTCTACACAGTTTATCAAATTCACATAAAAGTCCCATAAGAACTAAAGAATGAGAAGAAAGAAAATTTTGAAGAGACGAAAATGCAGCTTTAACAAGAACAATCTTTCTTGCCAAGGTGATAAACTTGTTACCCCACACATTTAATCTTTTCAAGGCTTTCACCATCAGATTATGAAAATTAGAACACACTAGCCTCCTTAAAGTGATCTTTAACCCAAGAT